TGTTGGGTTGACGGTTGGACTCGATGACCTTAGAGGTCTTTTCCAACCTTAATGAATTCGATGATCTATGAGAGGTGCGGTGGAAATGCTGTGCAGGGGGTTTCCTCCTCTCAGCACCTGCCCCCCCGCATGATCCCGGACTGCTTTCCTTCTCCCGAGTTGGAAAGAAGCTCAGGTTGTGATACGGCGATGGCCCACGAGGCTGCTGGTGAGAGCCTGGTCTCTGGTTCCTCCCAGGTCACAGCAGATGGGCTGCAGTTTCAGGGAAGTGATACGTCGCAGGGACAGCAAACAGCCACTGCTGTTTCACAACGCAGAGCCTCACACAGGGCTGTTCCCGCTCCAGAGCTGCTGTTATGCGTCTGGTCTGATTTCGTGGTGTTTGTACTGAAATGGCAGGAAACCAGAATAAATGGCAGTTCTGAAATCCTGCTGAATGCACCGTTTCGCCATTTTCCATTTTAATGTGCACAATGATCCTGATTTGTCTTTCTTCCCACAGGATGGCAACGATTCAGATGACTTTATGTAAATAAAGTCTCTCTCCTTTCTCAATCATGAGGTGGTTTGGGATGTCTTAATATGTCACCATCGCTAAGAATGCCAAAAAAAACCCCAAAAAGGTGAACTCTGACTCCATTTCTTCAGAACCTGGTTGGTTCTCCCGGCAGCCTGACCAGCTCTGTGCCATGGACAACTTCTGAAAGGAGGAGATCTGTACGTCTGCACATACATCTCTTTTTCAGGGACGTGGGCGGAAGGAAGCAGGATTGACTTTCAGTTCTATAAAGACAATGATATTTATTCTAGGGAAGGGGTTGGCGTAGCTTTTAATCCAACGAGATTTAAAGAAAAGAAAACAAATCGTACTGTCTCACCGCTGCCCCGGCAGCGGAGTGTCTCAGAAACGGTTGCCATTAGCTCGCTGTCACCGGTACGTACACGAGCCCGAACGCGACGCCGCTGACCGCATAACTCTCCTCTTCACGCTGGCGATGGTCAGCAAAGCTGGGGGATCCCGCTACAATTGGGGGGGGGGGGGGCGTACTTTGGGCAGTAAATCTGGTGGCTCCTCATTAAATACAGAGCTACAGGTGATGAAGACTGAGCTCGGCTGATGTTGCAGCCTACTCGAGCGCATGACCACGGGCTGCGATACGTGCCTTTAGCACAGAATGAGAATAGCCCCACGGTGTATTTTCTTTTAAATCATGCTTGATTCCTGGGCTGTTCCTTGGAAACCTTCTCCGGAGAGAGGAGTTTGTGAAGAAGAGTTGAGTTTTGCCCAGCGTTTACGCCTGTCCAGGCCAGAGCTCTTGCCTGAGCGCTCTGTAAGGTTTTGTGGGTAAATCTGTATGAAACGGTCATGGTAATCCTTCCGGCCCCTGTATATATGTCACGATTAAATTCACACCATGCTGGTAAAACGGGCTGCTAGGTGGGAGTCGCCTGGTGTGCTGACACCTCGGGGAAGGAGCCGGGGCTGTGAGGGTCCGCGGAGTTGCTCCTCGGGCAGCAGATGGCCATGTGGAGCACGGCCGCGCTGAGGGGGGGGGGAGAGCAACAGACTATGT